GTCCATGTGTCTTGTCATGCGGGCCCCTGTAATAGAGGTAGATTGGGACTTTACCCTGCTGTCCCCAGTTAGGACAAGGAGTGACAGATTTATAAGATATGCCCAAGGGCCTCTGTCAGGACCCAGGAGTTTTGAGTTCTAGACCAAAGGTTTTTTGGCAAGGGAAATATCCTGATACCACAGCCCCTTACCAGTAATCCAGGAGGTAACCAGGATAGACAGAGGCTGCTCCAAGCACCTCAAACTTGACTCAAATTATATTCCCTGCTGACCAGCCAGGCTCAGTCCTGTGACCCAAGCTCTTGGGGCAGAGCACTCTACCCTACAAACCTTCAACACACACACACAGCAACTAGGAACAGCACTTTGGAAGGCTTCTTAGGCCTCTCTTCTGGCTGGATCTTACCCCAGGATAAAGAAACTTTACAGTTTTACAAATGCACAGCCCACAGGAATGTGGGAAGCAGTTTCTCCAACCCAGGCCTTAGAGCTGGCCCCTTCCACGGGCTTCCGGGGCTTTCTGACTTGGTGTATCCCTCCATGCTGAGGCCCTGCCCTTGGGAACTCTTCTACAGGTATGGAAAGTGTGAGTTGGAGAAGAAGGAACACAAAATGTTAGCCTTGTGTCTGTCACCCACAGTCCTGGCGCTACTCCTCTGGGCCTCAAAATTTTGCATTAAAGTAAAAGAGCCAAACAAATCAAACCCTAAGGTCATTTTCAGCACACAGATGGAAGACTCTGGCAGGATCACCCTGATTCCTATTTGCAGTCTGGGGAGCCCCCACAGACTTCTCTCTGTGATGATATCTGAAACTTCTGGAACATTTTGTAAAACCCATCACCAAGAACTGCTGGAAAATGACTTTTCCAAATAAGTACGTACCTACAAAGTCCTGAGCCACCCATCAAGTAAGGCAATGTCCCTCTGGCATAGGCAGTGGATAGCTCAATAAAGGAGGAGAAGCTATCCACACAAACACAGAACGGAGGGCCACAGGTCCTTAGCAGTTACACTGCCTCCCAGATTGCAGAGAATGAAACTTAGCCTGAGAGCCCCAAATAGTGTTGGGTGCCAGCCTGCAAAGAAACTGAGCATTGGCTCCAAGACTCATGCAGGATTGGTGAGGGCCATGTCTGAGCTCCTCAGACCAAATTAGAGCCATCAAGGGCTCTGAGATTCACACGTGGTGACACATCCACTTGGGGGACCCAGCTACATGAGAGCCTTCCTCTAGAATTCTTCCAGTGCAAGCCTGCACCGTGTGCACACATAAGTGTGCACACAGGACTCACTGGAAATCGTAGCAGCAGTGCCCTTTATCTCTACTCAGATTCACTTTCCACATTCAGTTACTTGTAATCAATCCGGACCAAAAATAGTACATGGAGAAATTCTAGAAATAAACAATTTATAAGTTTTAGATAATTTTTACTAGTTATAATTATAATTGTTCTGTTTTATTAGTAGTTACTGTTAATCTCTTTTGGTGTCTAATTTATAAATCAAACTTTAGCATAGCTACACATATGTAGGGGGAAAATACACACCTCTGCATACAGGGCGGGGACTATCCAAAGTCTCGGACACCCACCGGGGATCTCGGGATCTATTAGAGGACAAAGGACCACTGCATTAGGACACGATGGCTGGCATGCTGTGCTTTCTCTCTTGGAGGCTTGCTGTGGTGTGGGTGAGAGTTAAGGTTCAGATCCCACAAAGCACAGCCCTGTCTGGGCAGAAAACTTTTGAGTCAACAACCTCCAAACAAACCACCTTTAGCAAGGTAAACTGAAGAGGAGGCTCACAAAGGCTCGCTTCATGAGGTTTCTTCCTGGGGGCCTACCGGCCACCTGCTCCAGCCGCCTGCCAAGCTCTGGCCTGGGGAGACACAAAGGGGCGGGGAAACACACCCTTTGGCACTAAGTCCCGACACTGCCCTAAGCATCCAGGACTCAGAAGGGTCCACACAGGGACCCACTCTCCCACACCTGGGGACCAAAGGCTACCATTACGGGTGGCTGGCGACTGTCTGGGATGCTGGAGTTCTGGTGAAGGCAGCTGGAGGTGGGAACACTGTCCCACCTACAACCAGCATGATAACTGCTCAGCCAGGCCTAAAATCCCAAGAAAGGAAAGTGCAGCAGGAGGTCACAGGAAAAGGAAAGGGAAAAGACAAGACAGGAAAGGACAGGACAGGACAGGAAAATAGCAACACAGTCTTCTGCTTTAGTTTTAAAGCCACTCTGCACTCTGTTTTGTACTATGGCGGGCTGAGGCAAGAGGATCACAAGTTTAAGCCCAGACTGTGCATCTTGGGGAGATTCTGTCTCAAAAAAAACATGTAAAGGGCTGGGGATGTACTTCAATGTCAAGGTCCAATCCCTGATACTGCCAAAAATCAAAACCAAAACCAAAACAAAACATAAAAAGAGTAGCTCAGAGAAAGGTGAGGGTCCACACTTCCAAAAGAGCACCTGCAGTCACTTCCAGCAGCAGGTTGTCTCCCCAGCTTCCCAAGAATGCTGCGGCCTGCTGTCCTGCCCGGGGAACTCCTGCTCAGCCCAGGCCACACGGGCAAACTAAAGGAGGACACAACCCCCAGCTTGCGGGACTGCTGACATGGGAAAGTCAGGAAGAGCAGCCCTGGATTCAGTCCATTCTTTCGTTCCTTTCCTCAGCAGAAACCGTGTGAAAGAACTGTCTCCTAGACCTGAGTCAAGTCACACACACACACACACACACACACACACACACACACACACGAGTGTGAACGCATGAGAACACAGCACACACTCACACGCACACTCACACACACAATTCCACATGATCTCTGTCCTGTAGGGCAGTTTGTGGAGACAGTAAGAACGACCCTAATATACAGATGGGGAAACTGAGGCTGCGGAGTTGTCTCATGCTCAATATCAGAGGCAGATAGGACACGGGAGACGACCTGATCCCCTCTTTACTCAGCACCCAGATCTGGGCAGACTGGTACAGCTGATCTCCACGCCCTCACGTCAATCAGATTTGAAACAATGGCGGGATGGATCCTTGTGGCTGCGCAGGACGGGGAGGTAAAGAGCTAGGAATCCAGGCCAGGGGCCTCTGTTCCTGCGGCCCACCCAGGAGCCAAGCGCCGGTTCCCAAAACTGCCAGCAGGGGGCAGTGCACCTTGCCTTTTCGAGCTGTGAGGCCTTGCTCCGCCAGTCCTGGGTAAAGAAAACCAAGCAGGAAACCCCAGCTTCTGACAACAGGCCAGGAGCAGAACAGGAGCGTAGTAGGTGCTCAAGGCACAGCTAGAAGCCGCGGGGACTGACCTGGGTACACGAATTTGAGTTCAGCAGTCGCAATAGGAAAGGAAAGGGAATTAGGGGCCTCGCGCCCTCTGCCAGCATGCTCCATGCTGTAGAATTTCCCCCCAAATCTAGCACCTACTACCTGCCCCAGGCGTGCAGCAACACCACACAACCTTGTTCTCTGCTGGGGCCCTTTTCCTTCTGCCGCGCGTCCTCTCCGCCCCCCCCCCCCGCCCCCTTCGCCACCAAACAGGACCACAGAGCGGGGGCGGGCCCTCGCTGTCTCAGGGGAACCATCTAGGCACAAATTGCCTAGGCGTGGGGACCCGCAAGGGACGTTCGAAGAAGGGACAAGTCCCCCAGAAATGCACAGGAGAACCCAGCAAATAGGACACCTCTAGCTTGTCCCTGCCTTCTGGGTCACAGCTGTCTTCTGCGGTGCGACCCTGTGACCGGCTCAGTCCCGGTCCACTCGCGCGCTTCCGGGCCCCACCGAGCCCCGCGGGGCGGGCGCAAAGCGGGCAGGACCCTCGCGTAGGAGGGAGCAGAAACTGGGACTGTCTTCGACCAGGACGCCCCTTCCAGGGGACCGCTCCGGTGCGCTAGGGCTTCTCCTTGCGGACCCCGGCACAGCCTTACCCCCTATCCCAAGTTCAGCCGCTCTTTTTCCTGCAAGGTCACGCTCAAATACGCAAGCCATGAGAAACACGGAGTCCTAAGTTGCGCAGCCCTCAGGGTCCTGAAGGAACTGGACCGCCCCAAGTTGCCTCGCCCAGAACCACCGTTCCGGAGAACGTGCGCTCCCAAGAGGGGCAGACCCTGCCCGCGCGGGGCGCACACAAGTTGCTAACTTTTGTCACATTTCTTGGCAGCTGCAGCGCCTAACGGGACTGGGGCGGACTTCGGAGTTTCAAGTTGCCACCTCCACCACGCCTGCCGTGCTCCCTTCGCCCACCTCCTCTTCCCTCTCTCCCCACTCCTTCCATCTGCCCAGTCCCGGAGCCAACTTCTCCCCCATAGGAAACATCGCAAGTTGGAGTCGTCCCGGGCGCCTACGGCCTCTTCCTGGGTCTGCGCCTGCTCCCAGCGGATCAAGGACTCCGTCCAGATACTACTCCCAGTGGCCTCTGGTCCGGACCACCGGCTGTTTCCACGCGTCCCGGCTGAATCCCAGTCCTAGACACTGTGTCCACTCAAAGCGCCTGAGATCTGCTTCCCCGGATGGCGCCCCACGGCGGCCCCGGCCGGTGAGACCCACCCGGGTTCGGGACGCAGTGTCACTGGGGCCGCCTGGGGGAACGTTAGGTTCCCCGGCAGCTCCTTTGGTTAGCCCCAAACATCTCTGAGTCCGAGCCTCCTTGGAGACCTTCCTCTCCCTGAGACCCTAATGGTCACCACCGCAAGGAAAGGGGTCTCCCCCATGGTTTTATTTCCTCCTGGGGCGGGTCTTCAGTTCCACCTCCGCTGTCACAGCCTCAAGGTCCCCTTCTCACTCCGCGGTTCCCAAATCGGACAATCGCCCCTGCGCTCAGGGCACACATGCGAAACTGCTAGCGCCTGAAGTCGCGTGGACACAGCCCTCCGCGCACCCCAGCAGCTGCAGGCTCCGCGCACGCTCGCCAGGCTGGAGACACGCTGGAGTTTCCCGGGTAGGGCAGGGAGGGGGCTCGAAGAGTGCACCGGGAAGGCAGCGAATACTCACCCCACGCGCGGCTCACATCGCCTCCGACTCCCCTCTCTCCGCTTCTCCCTCCTCGCCGGTCTCCCTCTGGGTGAGGGCTCTTTGTCTTTGCGAAGTGTCGAAACTGTCTGGCATAGTGGGGCTCCGCAGGCGGAGGCTAGCGCCGGGGCCGCGGGAGGCGGGGTGAGGAAGGGAGCGGTCTCGGGAAACCTTCCCCCGGGAGTAACGGGAGTGGAAGGCGGGGCCACCGGGTCGGGGCCGCCCTCGCCGGCCAGCCGGGGCGCGCCGAGCGCGGCCACCGCCTCCCGGGCGCACGGCCCTCCCCTTCCTCCGCCCCGCGCCCGCCCTCGGCGCCCCGCGTCCCCTGCGCCCCTCCCACGGGCTCGGCTCGGCTCTGTCCCGGCTGGGGCTTCCAGCTAGCCGAATTTAGCTCTGCCGAGCCACGTGGGCCGCAGCGGGATGGGCTGAAGCCGCCAGCCCGGGGAGACGCTGGAGGCCGCGGGCCGAAGAGAAGCTCTGCGGGGACAGCTCCGCAACTCTCAGCGGCGGGCCGCCGCAGCACGCCGGCGAGGCTGGGAAGAGCTCCCCGGCGGCCCGGGCCTCGTGGGGTCCTCCCAGAGGAGGAGGCAATGGGCGCGCACCGGGAGAATGCGCCGCTCCTCCAGCGGCGGCCGGGCCGAGCCACAGACTTCCTCAGAGGTCGCGGGACGCGAGGTGGGATTTAGCGGGGCGGAGAGCAGAGCATGGCTGGGCCCTGGGGCTGGTGAGGCCAAGCACCGGCCCTTGGCTCCCGCCCGCCGCGGGGGACGTCCCCTAAGAAAGAGGCTGCTGCCAGACTGGAGCGGGGTTAGACTGGGCAGGAAGAGCTGGCTGAAGCCGGCCCTAATACAGCCTGGGGCTCTGGCTCCAGGGTTTCGAAATTAGGTTTTGTTTCCCTCTCTTTGGGGAACCTGAGAGCTGCGGAGACGTATTTTGCTTTAGGGCAGAATGCTGGTTTAAGACGCATTTCTTAAAAATCTGGTTTTTCAGCTTTCATCCTCTCTATGCGACCGCTGACCTCTCTGGTAACTTTTCCGTGGAATGTGAAGTGGAAAAGGGGACCCAGGACTTCGTCCACTCTTGCAGTTCTTGCTGCTCCTACGAGAGGCTTGAGCCTTCTGCGGTGGAGCTGCACAGCCCTGCCCACCTTTCTCTCTGCAGAGAGCTGAGGTGGGCCAGGGACACAGTCAGCAGCGGCCTGGACTTGAGCTAGCCCTGAGTCACTGTACACTGTTTTCCTTAGCAGCACTTGTCTGGTAAGGGGGTTGTAATAATGAAGTGATTTAGTGCACACAGAGCACTTCCAGCTGGATGTGGCATCTGCCACACACTGTGCCATGGGGACTTATGCAGAGAAGGTCCCAGCGCACCTGGGCACATGGCCTGCCCTAAAGGATCAGGTGGAAGTGCCAGGAAAGACCTCGGGGAGAGAAAGATACTGAAAGAGGAGAAAGAGATTTTAGGGGAGGAGGTATTAACCACTAGAAAGGGAAGGAAAAGAAAAATAGAGGTATTCAGAGAAACCATGAGAACAAAACAAAGCACATGGATATACAAGTGTCCTCTCAGCCCCACTGGGCACTGGGCAGCATATTGCTTGCTGTCAGGTGTTTGAGAGACCTGTACTGAACTCACTTGTCCACCAATAGGTTTTGGTTTTGATGGAAGATGGAACCTGGGAAGAAAGCTTTGCTCTTTCTGAAACTCTAGTGAGACTTTTCTGTGCCTGACACTCTCCAGAATGCTTTGTCAGAGAGGAGGAGAGCATAGTTCCAGGAGCCCCCACACTAGCCCTCTTCAGCGTGGTCCTGAAGTGTCTTCTGGCGCGGATCATTGGGATTATTAGCACCCAGAGGTGTGGCTCATACTCATCACCTTGGGTGGCCATGCTCCTGATTTCACAGGGACCTGGGGCCATAGATTTGCCCATCTTCCCTGCTGTGCAGCCAGGTCTGCTGTAGATGGGAGTGTGCTGTGTATGGCTGATCTCAGTTCTTGGCAGATCCGTGCGGTAGATCCTCAGATACTGGATGGATTAACGAAAAAATGTCACTGCTTGCAAGAAGAATGGAAAAATACTGTATTGATGTTAAGACTACTGTATCCTAGTACAGTCTATGGAGAGAAGTTCTCATCAGGCCAATAAGTATCCCTAGCTTGCCCAGGTGTTCAGTTTACACCCAGCTCAGTTGCATCCGTGGGTTCTTCGCAGGTCCCCTGGCTGACTCCACAGTGAGGTGGAAAGTCCCTGTTAAGTAATGCTGTGAAAAACACTTGGTTATTTATAGCAGAGGGTGAACCTCATATGCATCTAGTCCCAGTCTGGTGGGTTAACCCAGGCAAGGCTACTTCTCTCTGACTCCCTTATCTTCTGTTAGAATACATTTCTTCCCAAGAAGCAGAAAGGGCCTCTCTCCCCTGTCCTGTCTTGCTTCTTTCTTCCTTCCTTTCTTTTCCCTTCCATCCTTTCTGTTTTCTTCCCTTTTTTTAGCTGTGATATTTTCTGCAAGCAGTATTTCTGACACTTGGAGCATTTCCAGGAGAGAGCTGTGTGCCAGAGGTGTGTGCCTTCCTTTCGGTGCCTCTGAATGTGCCTCCCAGAACACCCTGCTGGAAAACAGCTGGTCTTAGTCACGGTGGGGAGTGCCTGCCAGCAGGTCCCCTGGGAGCCCTGACATTGATTCAGTGCTCACTGTCATCTCCCACGTGTTCAGAGCTCCAGCCTTGTTCTCAGTAATGACTGTTAAGGAAATTGATTGCATCCTACCCCTTTCCTTGGCAAGGTCCTAATGGGTTCTGGTCCCATTTGAGTGATTGCTCAGGGAAGGGTGGGCCTGCCTGGTTGCTTGGGGAAGAGTGCAGAGGGGCCCGGCACATAGTGGTCTGTGTTTTAGACAGTGCTGTCCTCAGGTTTATTTTTTTTTTTCCTCAGTTCTTGAGGTTGTTTACAACTCAAGTTTCCTTTGGAAAAAAAAGAGTGAGCTTGGGGTGGGCAGAATGAAGCTGTGACTGGAGAGTGAAGGATAGACTGGTGTCTCCATGTGTCTGTCTCTCCGTGCTTGTGTGAGTGTCCTGTGTGTCTCTGTTCCCTCCTTGTCCACAGGCTTTCTCTGCTAAGTCCTGGGCAGCCCTTAAATTTTTCTGCATAGTTTGTTGGTATAGCCCCTCTGTACTTAGCTTCACTGCTGCCTGTTGATCCACTCCATATTTTAGATTTTCAAGGAGAGGAATCAGATTGACATACCCCATCCTCAGGGTCACAGGTCACCAGTTCAACCTGCATAGGCTTCCCAAGTAGCATATGTCCACTCCCTAGGTGACCCTGCACAAGGAGAGCTATCCTAGAGGTCTTGCACTGAAAGATGCAGGGCACATAACCTTAAGCACCTCCTCCTCGTGATTCACCTGAGGATCTTGACGGGCACTTCTGTTAGCAAAACTAGTTGGCAGAACTCATGCAATGTAGGTTACCCACATATATTAGACTCAAGATCTGAACTAAGCCAGCTCATTAGGCTCAGTCACTCATGATCACCCTAATCTCTTTGCCAGAAATTGGCTCAGGAGTGAGATTTAATCCCTGTTTGGACCACCAAGACAGGGAGACAAATATGCTTGAGTTTCCTGGGGGAAAAAATGTTCTTAAGAATAAACCCTGAGCCAGGCTGTGATCCCAACACTTTAGGAGGCTGAGGCAGAACGTTTACAAATTTGAGGCCACTCTGTGCCAGGTAGCACTTAGCAAGACCCTTCCTCAGGTTTATTCCTATGAGCCACCTTCACTGGTATCCTTGTGTGGCTCTAATCTTCTCCATGTTTAAAATCCTACCTTCTCTTAGATCCGGTGCTGCCTCATCCCTTTGCAGTAGCTTGCTTATTAAGTAATATTTCTCATTAGTATGCAGAGATCCTGAAGAAGTACAATTCCTCTTTCATCCTTCTAATAAAAATTGGATGCACCCACTATTTGTCAGATTCTATACTAAGTGATAGGGACGTGAAGGTGAGCACGACATAGTTCCCATTCTCAGAGAGTTCCCAGTTGGTCAGGGAAATAGTCATTTCCCCATCTGGGGGTAGTGCTGTGATAGGGCCCCTGACTGTCATCTGAGGGTCCACTTCCAGGGTCAGGTCCCCCAAGCACTCACTGTGAATTAAGCGTGTGTCTTGTAATCCCGCAGAAGCCATGCAATCAGGTGGAAGAGTGTAGGCTTTGTTTGAGAGCAGGTGGAAGCTCTGGAAAGTTCTCCATTATTGGCACCGTCAGTGGAAACATTTTCGAATGCTTTCAGTCATCTGGCTGAAGGAACTGGCCTGGGAGAAACCTAGGGGGTAGATGTGCTTCTGAAGCGGTGAAGTAGACAGGTCATAGGCCTGAAGAAGGGTTGGGGCTTATACTTTTCCACCAGCAAATAGAGGCATTGCCATTGACATTGTCCCCAGGGGCCACCTCTTGCATTTTCCTGCAGCAGAATCCCCCCCCTCCTTTTTAATGTGTTTCATTTTGCTTTAAACACAGTTGATATCTAGAGAGGGAACGACATCTTTGATGGCAAAGTTAAAAACTTGAGAGATCTTAATCCCTGACCGCATTTTTGAGCAGTGGGAATCAATGACAGCAGGATCTTATCTTGGGATCCCTTGTGAGAAAATTTGTGACAACAATTACTCCTTTTCTTATTGAGGTTCTCTGTTACTTAACCCACATCAAATCCTGACACTTGGGTAGGTAGTGACAGTCTGAAAATATGGCAGCTCCCAGGAAGAAGGAAAAGAGGTGAGCACTGTTTTGTGGAACATTCAATCACAGCTCATTTCCAGTGACCAATCTCAAATGCCACCCATGTCAAAAGTAGACACATAAGACAGTCATTGTATTGTGATAATGGGTTCAGTGGGTCAGGGATTCAGACAGAACTCAGCAGAGTGGTTTATCTCAGCTCCACCATTCAGAGAAGACTGGAAGCTGAAGATTGTTGAGATGTCTGTGGGTTCTTCACTCGTGACTGTAAGCTCAGGAGTGTGCTGACGTGAAGGTTGGGCTCAGAAAGTTCTGTCCAGGGGAGCACATCTGTGTGATCTGTATTTGGGGCTGGAGCCTCATACAGCTTGACAGCTAGGTTCTGAGACAGTGTTCCAACAGGATCAGGTAGACGCCGCAGGCCTCTTTAAAGGTAGCTTCACAAGTAACATAACATCACTTCATCCTATAATTATTCGTTATTATCCACAGAAGCTGACTCCAGGAAACTTCCTCAGATATCAAAATCTGCCAAAGCTCAAATCCCTTGTATGAAATAGAATAATATTTGCCTAAGACATACACATTTTCTCTCATATACTTTAGATCATCTCCAAATTGCAGTGTAAATGCGATATAAATAGTTGTTTTGCTGCATTGGTTAGGGAATGAAGTACAAAAGAGTCTCTACTTCAGAACAGATACAGTTTTTTCAGATATTTTTGAACTAAGGCTCATGAATATGTGGATACCCACAGGACAGGTGGCAAAGAGTTTGTGGCAGTGTTTAAAGAAGTTACAGGCTTTCAGGCATTTTGAGGATTGGGATTAGACTAAATTCACAGTCAAAAGGTGGGGTGGTGGAAGCCAGGTGTAAGTGAAATGGTCTGGAGATACTGTGGGAAATACAAAGAGCCCAGGAGGGATCCCAGAGAAAAGGCTATTCTCTAAAGGCTATGGAATGAAGCTTTAACTTAAGCTCTATAGATACCGCCCCTGTAGGCAGTGGTTCTTTGATCTGGCCAAGCAGAAGAAAGATAACAGCTCTCTGAGCCTCTTAACTACCTCTTGGTATCAGGCAAGAACCCTGAGTCCTGCTTCTCAAACTTTAATGTGTACAAGAATGATTTCAGGAGATTTATTCTAACCCCCCAGCCCTCCCCTAGAGGGTCTTGAGTCAGTGGACCTACACTGGGCTCTGGATTCTGTCTTTTTAAAACAGGTTGCCATTGTTATCTGGCTACAAGACTGGGCTGACCATATTTAGAGATGTTAGTTTTCTTGTGTATATATTTAGAAAGTTAATTTCAAGCAGGATTTGCAAGCTATGTTCTATGGGACGTGAGAGACTCCATACAGGATACCCATAGGCACCAGCGGATTTAGTAGATACTCATTGAATGTCTGCTCTTTGCCTAGTGCAGGGCTGAATATTAGGGATACACAGTATTCAAGATCATCTCCTGGTCTGCTCCCTGGAGCAGCACTAAGGAAGAATGGTCGTGGTGAAAGGTGTTTCAGAGGAGAAACACAGGCTTGTGCAGAGTCCAGGCAGGAAAACAGAGCTAGTTTAACTTCTGAGCTTCCTCTCACACTGCACTGAGGACAGACTCTTCCCAGACTGAAACTCCTGGCTTGGGGGATCTGTAAGAGTCTTTGCAGATGGAAACATTTTGGTCTATGAGTCAACTTGGGAATTCTGCCTTAAAAAAGGCAGAAGGCAATTACTGTGTTTAAAATCTGCCTGAGATCACAAGCTTACTACCTTCACTGTTGTAAAAGTAATTAGGGGGCTCTTTAGCTATAAAAAAATGTTTTGGGTCGTGGTTTGAGGATATTTAAAAACAAACCTCTAAAAAAAAAAAAAAAAGCACTTGGAAACCCAGCATTATTTGCATCTCAAATGACCAGCAATGATGAACTTTTTTTTTTTTTTTTTTTTTTTTGTCTTAAATAGACAAATGCTGTTTCTGCCTTGTTCATCTGAGAAGTGAGTATTCAACTCAGATGCCCATCTTTGGATTGAGTATTTAAATTTGGGAAACCTGACTTTTTTTTTTTAAGTTATTTATAAATTCTAGGTAGTAGTCTTTTGTCTGAGGAACAGCTGAAAAACATTTTTCCCACACTGTGGGTTGTCTCTTCACTCTGTTGGTGTGCAAAAGCTTTTTAGTAAGATGAGCTCCCAGGTGTTGATTCTTTGTAATAGTTCTTATGGGACTGGGGTTTCGTTCATAAGGTCTTAGGTTACACCCATGTCTTCAAGAGTTCCATGTGTTCTTTCTTCTAGCATATTCAGTGTTTCTGGTTTATTATTTAGATCTTTAATCCATTTTGATTTTAGTTTAGTGCATGGTAAGAGATATGTGTCTAGTTTTATGTGAAAAGCCAGTTTTTCCAGCATCATTTATTAAAGAGACTATCTTCCAGTGAAGGTGTTTGGCTCTTTTGCCAAAGATAAGGTGACTGAGTGTGTCTGGAGTTGTTTCCGCACCTTCTGATCTGTTCCTTTGATACTCAAGTCTGTTTTTGTTGTTGTTGTTTGTTTGTTTGTTTGTTTTGTCAGTACCATGCTGTTTTTAATCACACTACCTTGGTAGTGTAATTTCAAGTCAAGGATTGTGATGCTTCCTGTCTTGTCCTTGTCTCACTCCAGAAAGAAAGTCTATTACCAAGAAATCAACCAATAACAAATGCCAGTCGGACTGTAGGGGAAAAGGAATACTTTTCCACTGTTGCAGGGAATGCAGGCTAGCACAACCACTGTGGAAATCAGTGTGGAGATTCCTCAAAAAAACTAAAACAAAGGTTCTATTTGACCCAGCTATTTCCCTTCTTAGTGTCTTCTCAGAAGAATTGAAAGCATCATGCCAAAGCAATATATGCACACCCATATTTATAGTGGCACAGTTTGTAATAGCTAAATCTTGGAAACAGCACAAATGCCCATGAATTGATGAATGAATAAATAAGATGTGGAATATATATGTATATGTATTATATATATGTGTGTGTATTACTCTGCCATAAAAAAGGATAAACTTGAGACCTTTCTAGGTAAATGGATGCCTCTTGAGACTGTATTCTTAAATGAAATAAACTTGACACATGTATGTAAATACCACGTTGTTTTTCTGGTGTGAGAAACCAAAAGTGTCAGTAAGGACCAAAGTGTATAGTAGATACTGTGAAAGAGGAAGAAAAGTTCAAATGATAAGGGGAACTAGGAATGGGGGGAGGGAAAGGAAGGAGGGGCAAAGAAGGAAGGGAAATGGAAAATGGGAAAAGGAGAAATAAAGAAGGGAGAAACGAGAAAAAAACTCTTGTAAATAAAGAGTAGAAGAGGGATTGAGGGGAGGAGAAGAGAATGGGGAAAAAGAATAAAGATATGTGCAAGTGCAAATTCCCTATGATGAAAGTGATCATTATGTATAGCTAAGATGTACTAATAAACTTAATTAAAAACAAAAACCGAAGCACTTCATCCTTGGAGACTGTGACTGAACTCCGTCCCTGCTGTGGGCATGAAACAGCGAAGCAGAGGCCTGGACTGACCTATGAGCCAGGTGGCTGGGCAGGTGTATTGGGCAAGAGCTTTACATCCTGGAATCTTAGGCTTTTGTCTGCCAAGTGGGCACCATACACCATCCTCTTAACGTCATCTCACATGTAAAACACTTAGTAGTTCAGTGCCAGATACTTAGGGAGCATTCAATAAATGATGGCCATTACTAATTTAAGTATCTTTCCTATGTGTATTATACTTGTCCACATCTCTGCAAATGTTTTATAAATGAGAGTGGAAAATTACAGCTCATAACTGCCAAATGTCAGGACTTTGCCAGGCCACTTCCTTTCTGTAGTTCCTTCTGCCCATGGGATGACCTTAACATTGGGGTAGCAAGGTGGATTTTGCATCTCCTTGGTTTTGCTTTGTTTTATTTTGTTTTGTTTTACTTTACTTTGTTTTAAAGGGTTTCACCAAAGAGAGTCAGTTACTTTGTCCATTTGAAACTATGCATAAATATCCAAATTTGACATATAAGGTTTCCATGTTTATAAGAATAAATATAATGCGCATGTATTTGGAATTTGCATTTTTATGCATCTTAATAGATTCACTTTCTTTGAGTCTAAGTCCACAAATTATTTTTCCACTTTGATAATTAAAACACTATACAACACAACTCCCACTGAAGGAGCTCCTCTGGTTTTGGAGCTTGTGGAGTGGAACCATCATATAAACTTAGGCAAGATGTTCAGCCTCAGTTTCTTTGCCTCTAAATAAAAACGAGAGAATTAACCTTCAGCACTACTTCTGAGGTTAAATACATTTTTGTGAAACAAAGTAAGTAGTCACTTAATTACCTATTGCTGTTTTTATGTATATCAATTTAAGAGACACTTTAGCATTGTTGACTTACATGTCTTGAACTGTAGACTCGTGTAAAATATAAACTAATTCTAGTTTTCTGCAGTTGATGGTTCTGGAGGCAACTAAATCTACCTTGCATGGGAGCTGCTTCCTTGCACTGAAGCAGGAAATGACATCCTGCCACAAATTTAGGTGTTAATTTGGTAAAAGTATTTTTCTAGCAAAATACGAGAAGGCTATGTTCTATCAAGCAGTAAAACAGCTCTCAGGACTTGTGAAAGGGGGAGTTGAACTTCCACACAATTAAGTCCTTACTCTGTATTTTCTGCAAGGAAACCTAATTCTAACTCCCGCAGATACCATCACTGGATTTGCATAAATAAAACCGAGCACTTTACCATCACCACTGCTTTTCCCAGTCAGTCCGGCAAGCATGAGGTCCTGAGTTCGATTCCCAGTACCCACAAAAAATGTGGCAGGTACAGCAGGTATAGACATTCAGAAACCTGAGGAGTGTGCAATTCGCCTTTAAGGATGTTTCCTCCAGATTTCCCACAGTACAGCACTTCTGCTTGCTTCTCTTTCTCAGGCTACTCCTAATCACCTAGCTTAGTGGGACGCTGATAAATACAATTCTTTTTCTGGGAACCAGGGTGCTTGGGGAGCAAGTATTTGAGAAACATAAGCAGTCTGTGGTTCCAGGTACAGGGATTAGACCTGCAAAACTAGATCAGGGTAAAGTGTGCAAGCTCTAGTCCCATCTGTCAAATGTGGACCTTTAGTTTCCTACTGTCATTGTAAGTAGAAAAAAAAAGACTCAGTATGGCCAAGGTGATGAAGGAAAAAAAAGCACCCTTCCATATCAGCCCCAGGGCTCTGGAGGGAAGTCTCGGGGTCATAGGTTTAGGGTGAAGCTTCCTATGGTGCTAAAGACTATGTGCTTATTTAGCACAAAGTCCCTTCCCACTCTGAAAAATATTAGAATTGTTTACAGAGAGACCAGTGTAAATCACAGAGATGATTCCATGGGTGAGAACCAGCCAGCATTTGATATTTAAGTACTGTATAATAAATAGTCATTTGAAATATTACAAATAGATTAGCTTTATAATGATAATTTAAATCTATCTCATTAGTTATTTAATTTACACTTAATTTTTCATTACGAAAACTTACAAAAATATTACAAAACTTACTATATTTGATTGTTTAAAGGAATCTTAAAGTTATTTTGCTTGTAAATTTACTTATTATTAATGGTTTGAGTACTTTGTTCTTATCATTACTTTAACCAATAAAAGGGAGTTTAATGAGTAGGTCATTTGGCTTCATTGTTCAAAGATACTTAGGTTTATTGAAACGTTCAAGAAGAGACTGCCTCAAACGGTTAAAATATAGCCTATGTTTAAATGGATCTGCAAGTTGGATCCAAAGACCTATGGAAAACTATATTCTGATTTTAATAATATAATCAAACTTAAATAGTTTTTTCCATGAGCAAAAGCTGTCTCATAGATACTTTTAAATATATACTGACATGCTAATCTTTATCATTGTTTGCTCAAACAGTGAGAGGGTTCTGGGAGAATTGTTTTTCTTTATTATCACAAATTTTATTTGTCTGTTATTCTATATTGTTCTAGTGTAGAATCCTTTTTGGGTCTTTGTTTTGGGAAAAGACTGTCCCTCAGGCTGAGAAATCCAGAGAGCTTATCAGTCAGAGGACCCACCCTTTCTTTGTTGTGGGTTAAAGCATCCTCAGTGAAGCCTGTCACCTATGCCACTTACTGGAAGAAACTGCCTGTATCTCCGCCTACCTAGATGACTCTCTGGTCTTGTGTTTTGCTTCCTGTGTTCAGCATGGTTAGAAAGAAGCTGGAAAGAAGCCCTGAGGAAGGAGGGCTTCAAGATTGGGCACCTCAGATGTGTCCATAAATACTTTTTAACTTCCTGAAGCTCGCATCTACTTTCCTGGTGATATCATTTATGGTTTCATGCTGAGGTGACACGTACTTGACACCTCAGCATGAAACCACAAATGATATCACCAGGAAAGTAGATGCGAGCTTCAGGAAGTTAAGGATTGGCGTGTTCAGATCAAGCTCCAAGGTTTCCCTTTTCCCTGTTGTGTAACCTTGGGTTCCTTATTTAACTTCCGTGAGTCTCTGTTTCCTCTTCTGCACAATCAATCTCTTATTTGCAGCTTCTGTGAGCAGCGCTGTGAGGGCTCAGTAAGTTAACACATAAGATTTAGGATAATAACCTATCCATGGGAGAAATGCAATAGATTTCTTACTCTAATTTATTTGCTGATTACCATGACTGTTCTTTTTATTATTAAGACATGGTTACTGAACTTTTCTTTCAGTAATATAAATGAAACTACACCTATCCATTGAATTACTTTCTTCTTACATTTTTTTTCATATTTGGTACTGGGAATTGAACTCAGGACGTTCTACTTGCCAGGCAGGCAATTTGCTGCTGAGCTAAATCCCCAGTCCACCCCTTGCATTTGAACTAGGATTAGCTTGTGTCCCTTGTAAGCAAAATTGTTTGGCTACAGCAAGCTCAGTGTGAAAACGATATGCTTGGGATGGAGAAAAGAACCCCTGGGCTCGCTGCCTTGACCTTCCCTTGTCTGTTCCAGCAATTTATTCTCACTGCTATGGACTGGAGGCCACTGAGGACACCGGTGAGAGCACAGTGACTTCTTGGCCCATGGCTCTGTTGGCCACCTTCAGTGATGGCACTTCCTGGGCAGCAGGATCATGCACATCCAACTACAAATACAGAAGTCTTGTCCAAGGGAATGTAAGATACTCACAAAACAAATATGTATAAAACAAATTAATTAATTAATATAACCCACAAAGGTCATTCGAGAAAGAAGAGGAGGAAGAAGACGAGGAGAGAGAAAAGGGGATTAGGAGGAGAAAGAAGAAAAGGAGATGAACAAGAACAACAGCATTAACAGAGCAGCTGGACACATACATGACACCTCAGCATGAAACCACAAATGATATCACCAGGAAAGTAAATGCGAGCTTCAGGAAGTTAAAAGGTATTTATGGATATCTGAGGTGCCCAGGCTATATAGAGAACTCTTTCAACTTAATAAAATAAATCAATTTAAAATGGATAAAAAATTTAACTGTTTCTTCAAATAAAATATCTAAATGGCCAACACACCAAAAGATGCCTAATATTATTAGTCATTACTGAAATACAATCAAAAGCACAATGAAAAATCTGTTTTATACTAATAGTAGCACAACTCCCATCAGAAAGATGGATACCAGGTGTCAGTGAGAGAGTGGAACTCTCAGTATTGCTGGGAACACAAAATGGTGCAGCCACTTTGGAGACGAGTATGATAGTTCCATAGTTAAATAGACTTGTCCAGCAATTCTACTCTTCGGTGTGCACCCAAGGGAAATTAAAACATAAGTCCATGTAAAAACCTTACACATGAATGTTCTAGCAGCATGACACATAACAGTTCAACAGTGGAAACCACCATGGGCTAGTGAGTAGATAAACAAGATTTGGTACATCTGTTCAATGGAATATTATTCACAATAAAAGGAAATGCTATACTGATTATGTTAACTCATGGACAAAGCTTGAAAACATAATGCTAACTGGAAGAAGTCAGTCACAAAAGACTACGCTGATCACATATCCTACATAGGCAAAGCTGTGCAGACACAGCCCAGATTGGTGGCTGGCTGTGGCTGGGTGTGAATAGGAATGGAGAATAATTGGTAAATGTGTGTGGGTTTTTTTTAATGGAGATGAAATATTCTAACATTAGTTCATGGTGGGAGGTGTCCAACGTGCAAATATACTAAAATCAACAAATTCATTCTATAATTTAGGTTTGCTGAAATTTATGGAATGTGAGTTGTATCTCCATAAACACATTTGTTAAAGGACAATTTTTTAAAGACTCATCACAATCCCAGTGTAGCCCATGGGCTGCCGAGTTGCAGTCTTACCTGAGGATAAAGTGCAAATTCTTTGCAGGGCGTGCCATTTGGTTAGGCTCTAACCCCACCAATCCTCTTCTACCCTATGCTCTGCTGTCTACATC